TAATCTTTCGTCAGTTACGAATCCGAAGTCCGCGTCAAGATAAGTTCAAAATTTTCAAAATTTAAAAAAAGATAGTTAAAACGGGTTCAATCGAGAGAAAATTGATTTACTCAAAATTTATACAAAAAAAATTGTTAAAATGGGTTCAATCGACTGAGAATTTATGCCAAATTGTACACAACTTTCCTTCAATTACAAATACGAAGTCGCCATCACGACATCTATCATCAACGCAAAAAATGGGTTCATAATTTTCGAAACTTAAAAAAAAAAGTTAAAATGGGTTCCATCGACTGATAATAATAATTAGTGTCATACTAGGGATAATTTTCCATCTGTTACGAATCCCAATTCCACGTCCAAAAAAATTGTTAAGACGGGTTCGGTTGAGAGAGAATTGAACTCAAATTGTACATAATCTTCCTCCAATTATGAATCCGAAATCGCAATCACGACGTTTATTCAAACAAACACGAAAAGTAAGTTTACAATTTTCAAAATTTTTACAAAAAGGGAGTCTAAACTTTTTAAAAATTTTCAAAAAAAAATGGTTAAAATGAGAGCAATCGATTCAAAATTGGTGTCAAGTTGTAAAATAATTTTCCGCCAATTACGAATCCGAAATCGCTGTCTCGACATCCATTCAACCAAGCGTGAAAAATGAATTTACAATTTTCTTCTTTCTCGAAAAAAAGTGTCGTAATATACACAAAATATTTAATTATTTTTTTATTTTGTTCATTATTATTATTTTTATTATTAAATGGTTAAAATGGGTTTATTCGACCAAATTGTAGACAATCTTTCGCCAATTGCTAATACGAAATCGCCATCGCGACATCTGTCCCAATAAACTTAAAAAATAAGTTTAGAATTTTCAAAATTTTTACAAAAAAAGTGTTAAAACAAGGTTAATGAACTGAGAATTGGTTCAAGTTGTAAATAATCTTCCGCAAATTACGAATCTGAAATCATCTACATGGCAACTATTCAAATAAACGTGATAAGTGAGTTTACAATTTTCAAAATTTTTCTTAAAAATGGTTAAGCTGGGGTCAATCAACTAAGAATTCGTATCAAATTGTAGATAATCTTCCACTCATTACAAATCCGAAATCGCCGTCACAACATCTTTTCAAACAAACCCGAAAAGTGAGTTTAAAATTTTCAAAATTTTTACAAAGAAAATGTTAAAATGGGTTCAATCGCCTGAAAATGTATGCCAAATTGTAGATAACTTTCCTGCAGTTACAAATCCGAAATCGTCATCACTACATCTGTACAAATAAACGTAAGAAATGGGTTTACAATTTTCAAATAATTACGAAAAGTGAGTTTACAATTTTCAAAACTTTTTCAAAAATAAGTTAAAATGGGTTTTATCGACCGATAATTAGTGTCATATTGTAGATACTCTTCCGTCACTTACGAATCAGAAATCCGCGTCAAGATATCTATTCACATAAACATGAAAAATAGGTTCACAATTTTCAAAATTTTTTCAAAAAAATTATTAAAGCGGGTTCAATCGAAAGAGAATTGGTGTCACATTCTAGATAATCTGCGGCCAATTACGAATCCGAAATCGCGATCACGACATTTATTAGAACAAACACGAAAAGTGAGTTTACAATTTTCAAAATTTTTACATAAAAAAAAAGTTGAAATGGGTTCATTCGAGTGAGAATTTACGTCAAATTCTAGATAATATTTCTCCATTTGCAAATGCGAAGTCGCCCTCAAGACTTTTGGTCAAATAAACGTGAAAAAGGATTTACAGTTTTCAAAATTTTTCCTATAACATGATTAAAATGAGTTCAATCGACTGAAAATTGGTGTCAAATTGTAAATAATTTTTCGCCAACTGTCACGACATCCATTCAAATAAGCGTGGAAAATGAATTTATAATTTTCTTTTTTCTCAAAAAAATTGCGTTATATACACAAAATATTTAAACATTGTTTTATTATGTTCATTATTATTATTTTTATGGTTAAATGCTTAAAATGGGTTTAATCGACTTAGCATTTGTGCCAAATTGTAGACAATCTTTCGCCAATTGCTAATCCGAAATCGCCATCACGATATCTGTTCCAATAAACCTAAAAAATGAGTTTACAATTTTCAAGATTAAAAAAAAAGTGTTATAACGAGATTAACGAACTGAAAATCGGTTAAAATTTTAAATAATCTTCCGCAAATTACGAGTCTGAAGTCATCGTCATGGCAACTATTCAAATAAACGTGATAAGTGAGTTTACAATTTTCAAAATTTTTCTTTAAAAATGGTTAAATTGGTGAAACTGTAGATAATCTTCCACTCATTACAAACCAAAATCCAAACCCGAAAAATGTGTTCAAAATTTTCTAAATTTTTACAAAGAAAATGTTAAAATGAGTTCAATCTACTGATAATTTATGTCAAATTGTAGATAATCTTTCAGCATTTACGAATCCGAAATCGCTGTAAAGAGATCTGTTCTAGTAAACGTGAAAAGTGAGTTTACAGTTTTCAAAATTTCTCCATAACAAATGTTAATGAGTTCAATAGTCTGAAAATGTATGCCAAATTGTAGATAACCTTCCTCCAGTTACAAATCCGAAATCGGCATCACGACATCTGTACAAATCAAGGTAAGAAATGGCATCACAATTTTCAAACAAACACGAAAAGTGAGTTTACAATTTTTAAAATTTTTCAATAAAAAAAAAAGTTGAAATGGGTTCATTCGAGTGAGAATTTACATCAAACTTTAGATAATATTTCGCCATTTACGAATCCGAAATCGCCGTCAAGACTCCCGATTAAATAAACGTGAAAAGGAAGTTCACAATTTTCAAAATTTCTCCAAAATAATGCCGTAGGTAATATACACAAAATATTATTTTGTTTATTATTGTTACTCTTATTGTTTAAACATCTTCTTATTCATATAATACGTAGCTCATGGACCTGTATTGTGGCGCTTTGCCTTGGAGGGGAAAATCTGCGGTTCCATTCCCGACAATTTTTAATTTTTTAAATTATTAGTATTGCACATTTACCGCATGTGCCCCCAAATCAAAGGCAGTGGCGATGTATGGGTGATTAAACTGTGATTCATTAATATATTTCAAAAAAAGCTCTACAAAAATTTCTTAAACTCGTATGCAAACAATCGTATTTTTAAATGTAGAGGTTAAAATTTTTTAAAATAAAATTTTATAATGTTACAGAACGGACTTTGTTGAACTGTATGTGCTTCAGGGGAGCGGGAAGTTTATTTTCTTCCTTTCGATTTGTTAGTGTATCTTTTAAAAACGTAAAGAATCTCGAAAGCTTCCAGTTTCAAATATAGAAAATTATTAACGAAAAAAAAAAACAGAATAAGAAAACAAAATATGATGTAGCATTAAATTAGAGGGTGTTCTATTTTAAGAAACCGATTTGTCGATTAAAAATTATAACATTTTAGATTTCTTTCCGAAAATCACTAATCTGATTTATTCTATACATTCTTGTATTTAAAAACAATCTTTTGCTTTTTTAAAAAAAGCTAAGTTGTCAATTACGTAGAACAGTTTGTATAGTTAAAAATAATTTTAGTGTATGTTATTTAAAAATCGAACAAGTTATACTGTTTTTTTTAATTCTGCGTAGTATAGTATATATACTTACCAACAAAAATTCTAAAAAAAAAATATTAGAATAAACCGTAGACTATACAAAGTTCACAGTGTGCTTGGAATAAAAGGTAAATATTTGTATGTTATATTTTTATTATATATTTGCAGTTATAAGTTAAAAATTAAGCATTTGAATATGTACTTGAGAGTAAACCACAATTATGGAACAGGTTATAACTATATCTACGGATTGCGTTTCTCACTTTTAACAATCGCTAGAAAAGTTTTAAAAATTTTCTGTTTTTAAAAATCGAAAAGATGAAAAAATTCCAAACCGAACAAAGTGTTTATTTAATCTATACTGCTAAACTTTTAATATAAAAAGATCACCGTCCATGGATGCAGTAAAACTCAGCCGTTAAATTATTTTCTGAATTTTTAGCCAGAAATATTGCATTAATGATTTTTCAAAGTTAAATTGTTCTCTTTCTGAACGGAAAAGCTCCATATTTTTAATGTGCACTTTGCATTACCTGAAAATTACACGCTTTTTATATCGAAACTCATATTTAAGTTTGCTAACTCGCTAGTTTTATATCGGTAACATTTACTCCATAAAGCTACTATATAAAGTTTTCTTCTTTTTACAAAAGTTATTATTGTTTGTATGACTACTCTAAATCCTCGTTCGCAAACCTTCCATAAAACTTACAGTTTAAAACAAACACCACGCGACGGATTAACTCGGATCCGTTACATCCAGCAGCAAATGATCTTGTATTAACTGGAGTGCTTCCGAAGTGATAATAAAAACTGTGTAAAATCACACACGTCGGCTGTAAACCGCCATTTCAGCGGTCAGTACGTCTTACCCGGATTGCCGGCAATCATCTTGCTGAGTTCGGGATCAATCATGGGAAAATGAGTGGCTTTAGTATACGCCATTTGTAAGATAACAGCTTAAGACGTTTCGTCTGAGTTTTTCCGCCCCAAAGAGCAAAAAGTTGAGAGGGGGACAGTCCACAATCAACTCCACTTACCCTCACACACGGCACAGAGATATTAGCTGCCAGGACTGCCACCTTACAGGCACATAAAGCTCCCATGATCCGCTCTATTGAGACGTCTAGAGTTGTTAAGGTCCGCTTCTCTGACAGCACTCCAGTATCAGCTTATTGTCTTCTAAATTTACGAGGGACCATCTGCCTTTTTTGTTTATTCGCATCTCGAGGACGGATAATGCTGACGGTTTTTCTAGCGGTTACAGATCAGTAAGTGTGTCGTGAAGCTTTCGGGTTCGCGATGATAGACATGCTTGCTTTCGGGGATAAAAAGCTCTAATTGATAAGTGACGGAGCGTCTTGTGGATTGGGTTAAGAAAAATTGATGCACGGTATAAAAATATCTGATGGGAGCGATGAGTTTATATACCTATATTTAGACGAGTTTTATTCTGGTTTTCAGTTTAGAGGTTTGTATAAGTTGAAGTTGTTCTTCAAGCGACTTATCTCATGTGAGTTAAACAGTGATAACTAAAATTGTTGCTTTTTGCAGGTTTTGAACGACGTAGTAAACTTTCTGCGCAACACTGAGTAAGTATTAACGTAATTTTAGAAAAATAATCTATGAACGATTAAAACAATTGACCTGTGAAATGGTAGTTAGCATAGGGAAAAAGTCATTAGCTGGGAATGTTTGGGATTCTAATACAGGGTCATTATAAAATATTGTAGTCGAAGAAGGCCATGATTTTGGTGACATTTTGTGCCGTCTTTTTCAGTTTTGTGGAAAGAATTACACTAATATTGGAATTTTTATTTTTTACGCCACATTAGTTGACATTAGCGGCTGCACTGTTTCAACGCTTCATCAAATTCTGTCAGATGTCAATAATTTTTTCGTTTGTACTGGTACGTTTTCCCTCACTTTGTGCGTTAATTGACTTGTCTTGTTTTCATTTTTGCTGTCTTCCCCTTTGTTAGAACTTTAATAAGTGTCTCCAAAAACAGTTTTTATCAAAACTACAGATCATTGTGGAATAATCTCAGGTAATGAACACAGAGGAATAACTATGGTCAGTGTTACAAATTATTTTTTTAGTTCTTTGGCGCAATCATCATGCCTATTACCGTAATGGGGTGTTAAATGAGGATGGGGATGGAGTGTACTCTGTGGAGGCGTCTAAAAACGAGTATCTAGTGAAATGTTCTGTTGTCATTGATGAAGAATCTTTGAAGACGCTATACGGCGAATTATGGCCAGATTTAACGACACTGGTAGCATTTCTAAGTGAAAACCGACGGGGAGACCTCAAGTTAGTGAAGACGTTGTTGAAGATTTAAGGATGAGAATGGAACAAAGTCCGAATAAAGCTTTGTCAAAAATCTTTACTGTCCGGAGTACCATACAGCCCATGTCAGAAAATCGTAAAAGAGAAGTTACATATGCATCCATACAAGATTTTGTTGGTTCAGGAGCTGCAACCAGCTGATTTTCCTTGCCGCGTTGGGTATTGTAGTTGGTTTCAAGCTGATATGGACGATAACGGGATTCTCGATTTGTCGTTCTTTTCTGATGAAGCCTGGTTTCATCTGTTAGGCTATTATGTCAACTGACAGAACTTCAGAATTTGGTGTATAGAAAATACTCACGCTTTTGAAGAAACACCATCACACGCAATGAAGGTTGGTGTGTGGTTAGCTGTTTCCAGACGACGATTCATAGGCCTGATACTTTTTCAAGTAAATGAATGTGATCAATAAACAAAATTAGATGTAGAAAGTGTATGTAGGTACTGCAATAAAGTTTTTTATTTTCAGTAACTTTCATTTTTCTTTCGGTGTTAGTTGCATTCTCTTAATTTAAAACTTACTTCAACTTACTGTTTAGTAATAATTGTAATTTTACTATTAGGAAAGTTAAAAATCTTTATTAAACATTCTGTTGTTTCAAGGGATCTCATAATCATCTACAGAACTCTTAACACTATGCTCCTGAAATTTTATTGGTTTTTTCATCTTTTTTGTTATAGAAATTTTGAAAAATCTTGATATTAGGATGGCCATGTGGGCGTGTTTTGGGTAGAACCTCTTTGACATTCCTGTTATGCAGATCTGGCATGTTTCAGATATCTAGAAACTGCAAAGCTGAAGGTAATGTTTGGACATAGCAGTTTTCACCTATTGTAGGGATGAAGATCAAGGCTTTCAGTTGTGTTTTTTCAAGAGAAAAGCACCGGTCACAAACCATGTCTGCACCAATATTTTGACGATTCCTTACAATTTACAAACAGAACTTTCGCGGGATCACAACTTTGGCAAAATTATTTACTGCAAAAACTCATTAGGTACTCATAGTGTTCGTTAACTGTGATAAGACTTGCTCTGCCATTGTCCATTACGTGATTTTTCACAATTTTTACCTTCAGGGTACCTATAAAAATGTAATTTTTTAAATAATTACCGTGTTCATTGGTTTCGACAAACTTAACCTCACTTTTTGGATTTCATTATTTGAAAAATTATTGCTTCTTTGCAAAACAGACCAGATGATTTATTCTGTTCAACTCCAATCGACTTTCCAAGGTGTAATTCATGACAAAGCCCTTAAACGTTTTTCTGACAATTTACAATTTTTGAAACTGAAATGTATTGCAGTGGCGTTCACAAATGCTCGATAACACTGCAACCCTTAATGCTCTGGCCTGGCGTCTTTTCGTGTCTATTTAAAATGAAATTAAACCGCGAACCGGGCATTTCAATTTTTGACACATCTGACAGATTTGTTTGGACGTTCGTGACATTTCAAAACAGTTCAAATCATTTTGGTGATTAGCGGCACGAGAAAAATTTCATTTGTTTTTCATAGGTGAGTTGACTACAATATTTTATAATGACCCTGTATAATAGATTATATTCGATAAACGGTGGCAATTTGATTAGACACGCTATTTTTGAAACTATTGGAAAGCTGGTTTAATTGGATGTGTTTGACGACAATCGGTTCTTTTATCCTTAACCATTTTTATACTTTTTCATCTTCACTTGTTTACCTTAGAAGTATATATTTTGAATAAACAAAAACAAAAACTGTACTAAAGCAATTACACACAAGTTCAACGCAAAATTTGAGGTTATGATCATCCTGATGTATAGATTTTTGTATTCACCTGCAAGAAAATTTTTACTTTATTTTTTTATTATAAACAGGGTAGAGTATGACGAAGAAATATTTTCATATACAACCCTTATTGTGCGAAGTAAAATCTTTAGGTAGACAAGAATGCGTAAAAAGTACACACAATTTTTAGCAGCCAAGAGTCATTTACGTTTTAGTGATCTGTAAAAACTGAATGTAAATTTTCTTCCAGATTATTATCGCGATAAACGAAGAACTTCTTTTTTAATTCAATTTAACTGAAATAAAAAAAAATGCTCTGACACTGACAATACATTATTCCCGCCATAGCGAAAAATTAGATAAAATCTCGGTGATAGTAATGATAATAATTTATAGCCCTAACTACTCTCTGACTGCTTGCTTGAATGAGCCAAAAGCTCTGTAAATCAAATATGATGAACACATTTCAGGTTTTAATGCAGTAATCATCATTATTATCACGTATTATTATTTTTATTACCATTAAACGTATTGTTATCATCATTATTATCCTAATCAGTTTATTGAGTGCTTCCAATAAGCAATTTTGGAAACAAAAAGTCAACGTTCACTAGTTGGCGGACTCTACATTACCAGTGTTTTAAAGGAGTTTGTTGCGTATTTTGTAGAATAAATTTTATTTTACATTTAATTGAGACCAATTTGCTCAACAAAATTTTGAAATTGCGTACTATTTTTATGTAGACGATGAGTAAATACAGTTTTGTTAATGTATGTACTATAATCACTAAATCATTAAAATTATGCAGTTTTTTAGATAAATTTTAAATTTTCATTCGGCGCACTAATTTTTTCTGAGAACCTTATTGATTAAAATAAAATAAAGTAATTTTTTTATTATTTAACAGTAGCCTCCGTTAAAGTTCATAAATAAAGTTTCGTGATGATATTATTTTGTCATAGGTACGGTTACTTGTATGTTTTCTCGATGTTTTATGCCCTCTAGAATATGAAAAAATAGCTTCTCGTTTCGTCTGTTTTACATTTTAAAACGCTAACCAGAATAGTCTAGTCACCCCCATTAATAACTTAATGACGTCATCTCAAAATTTTGCAAAGTTAATGTTACTTAAATTTCATAAGAGAATATATACTTATATACTTGTGATTTATGAATCCGCCCCTATTTTTCACCTTATTGGGGCTCCCTAGTCTTGTCATTTTTTTAATGCGAAAGATGCCCCTCGTGCGTTTTTTAAAAATATGAAAGAGTTTCAAGGACCACTAATTTCTCTCTCATTTGAAAAGTTAATAAAATAATCCCGGGAGTTCCTAGTGTATCCTCTATTTGGAAAAATTCAAAAGAATCTTGGGGGCCCCGAGTATCTTTTTCTGATAGCATCTTTTTTATTGTTGAAAAATTCAAAAAAATCACGGGGGTACTTTGTATCTTTTTTGGAAAAGTTTAAAAGAAACTCGGCATTTAAAAATATGAACGACTCTCGAGGACCACCAGCTTCTTTCTTTATTGGAAAAATTAAAATAATCTCGGGAGTTCCCAGTCTCTTTTTTTTTTTGGAAAAATTCTAAAAATTGCGGGAGTACTTTGTGTCTTTTTTTGTCGAATTCAAAAGAATCTTGACCCCACCTATTGTTTTGTTTTGAACAAAAAAAAGAATCTTTGGCTCTTGAGTCTTATCTCTCTTTTAATGCGAAAGAATCTCAAGGACCTGTAGTGTGTTTTTTTCGTAGAATTTAAAAGAATCTTTGCAATCTTGAGTATCTTTTTGAAAAATATGGAAGAGTCTCGAGGACTACTAGTTTTTTCTTTTTGGAAAAACAAAAATAAACTCGGGAGTTCCTATTGTCTCTTTTTTTTTGTAAAAATTCGAAAGAATCACGGGGGTACTTTTTGACTTTTTTGGAAGATTTCAAAAGAATCTCGGGGGTCCCTAGTGTCCTTTTTGGTAGAATTCAAAAGAATCTTGAGCCCACCTATTGTTTTGGTTTTGAAAAAAAAATAAAAAATTGGGGTTCCCGAGCCTTATCTTTTCTTTTTTAAATGTGAAGGAATCTCTAGGACCTGTAGTGTCTTTTTTTGGAAGAATTTAAAAGAATGTTGGCAGCCTCGGGTGTCTTTTAAAAAATATCAAAGAGTCTCGATAACCACTAGTTTATTTCTTTTTGGAAAAATTAAAATAGTCTCGAGAGTTGATTTTAATTTATTCCGAGGAGATTATAGCAATGATGTTGACATGCGTCAAAATTGTGTTAAATTTTTTTGGTGTTCCGGGGAAAATAATACGTTTGTACCAGTTTTGAATCCTTGTAGGGTGTTTTGATCATTTTTAATAACATTTGTAGTGATATCAGAAATATTTTAATCTATCAATAAGAGTGAAATGTGCTCATAAATAATAAAAGTTTCAAGTAGAATAAAAAATTGTGCGAAGGTAAATAACCTAGGCGCGAGGAAAATTCTGTCTTATTTAGAAAGAAGCACAGGTGAATAAATACAGCTTTTTTAAAAAATTACAAAATTTTTGTTTTGCGAATTTTATTTCCTCATGATAATAATCTCCACGGACAGACGGACAGACGGACAGACAGACAGACGGACAGACGGACAGACAGACGGAAACGGGAGACCTATTTATTCGTCTTCTAGGGATCATGAAAGATCGAGAAAATGTAAAAGTAGAGAGTCGGCCGACGGACTCGATTACAATACTTCCTTTGCTTACGCTCGGAAAGTAATATAGATCATGCCTCGTCACAGTGTAAGAAAAAAAAAAGTTGTCCATGAGGATATCAAACTGGGACCTGAGCGTTATTGTCACGATGCTTGGCGTTCCTCTTACACTATTATGAAGTGTCATACAGTCAACAATCAACAGTCAAGGCCGATTCATAAACCAGATGTACAGAAGTATCTTATTTTTATAAGTTATTTAAATAACATTTACCATGCAAAATTCTGAACTGACGCCTTCAAATTGTTGGTGTAGATGATGAAACAAATTTTGGTCAGCGGTTTACTATCTCCACGATATTCGTACAATACTTATACAATTTGACAACAATCAGTCCAGTAGTTTCGAAGATTATTTATAGACATATTGACGCAGACGGCAGACAAACGACATACAAACAGAAACGGGAGACCTATTTTTTCATTCCCTCTTACAATACTTCTCTAGCTTATGGTTAGCATTCTGATAGTCTAGCTGGTTGTTGCACTAACTTTGGTTTTTCAGTTCATATGTTTGAACAAATTTAGCCAACACTTTAAGAAATATTAAAGAAATACATTTGAGAATGTCACTAATAATAAATAAGAATGGAATATTTTATTGGTGAGAAGGAAATATAAAAAACGCATAGGTGTTGGCGCCTTTTACGGGAGCGGTTGTTCGGGCGCCAGTTCCCTCTCCAGGGAGAAAACACCTGGCATACTCTAAGCGACAAAACGGATCTCCAGTAGGTCTCGTGAGCGTCTGCCGCGCGAGGAAGAAATAATACTCCAGTTGAAATTAAAAATATTTGGCTTTTATTGCGTAGTCACCAGCTACAGAACTAAAATTAAAAACTAAATAGAAAAAACTTTCAGAAAATAAAAAAAATAAGGACGGTGCTGCTTCGGCTCCTGGGGAGGCGGTGACGCTAAAAGGGGGCGGTACGGGTACGGGCACCGTACGCTGAAAGAGACTGCAGTGATCGGCGTAATAGGAACACACAAAAGTCCGAAGCTGAATGACAGTCTGCAGTGTCGGCGCGGCGCGGTTGTCGCGAACTCCCCTGTTCATTCCGA